GTAATCAGGTTGGCCTTTGTTGAATTAAGCATTTGGTTCAGGTCTTTATGATCATTATATTGTTCCGGTGGTTGTTTGCTGATAACATTGTTGTTGAGACCCAACAAGCCACATCGCCCTTTCAAGTCAGCCAGTGAGCTCTGAACCATCTCAGGTCTTTAGTCAAAGCCTCTGGTCCCTCAGAGACCCTCCCCTCACTGTCATGGTGGTTGACCCCTGTGTGTTGGTCACAGTCAACAGGCCTCCACGCACTTCTCTTTCCCGCCTCTTGTTTGAAGCCCGCGGGGGGTGGGGAGCTCCTCGGACACCCGCGGAAAAACAGTTATCCCACCTCGATGCTGAATTTGGAGATGGCCTGCTGTTTAGAAGTAGTACGTCCGTGTGAGATTGACAGTAGGGCAACGGGAAGTAATGCCCGAATACACATTGAGTTTTACGAGACACGTACAGAAGGGATTAAGGGTGAGAAGCAGCTTCCTGCAAACCTAGTGATTTATGCACATTATGTCAGACCAGGGATGAAGACCGTAATTAACACTGCATACATGTAGTCTAAAGATAAATCTGAGGACATTTATTGCGTTTTCAAACCCATTCCTCGTATGATTCCATTTAAACAGTGGAGCAGATGTCTCCTCGATAATTAGCAGACATAACCGTGCAGCTGGCTGCTGAGTCGGGAGTTTCTGCAGCCAAGAGTCAAGTGGGTAAATGTGAAAAACAAACCGCAAAGAGAGCGTGTGCCAGAGTTCACCTACAGTACATCGACCCCCCACTCTTTCTGTTCTCTTTGTCAGATTGAACAAACTCCATGTGCATCACTGGGACTGACGCTCAATACGAGGCTGGGTTGGGAATTTCAGGAGTCAATATGATGTCTCTGGAGACTGCAGTGTAGACACAACATGCCAAACAGGCTCAGTAAATAAATCCACCTGGTTCACGGGGTGGTAGGAAAGTCAGGGAGTTCATGGTGTCATGAAAGTTGTTTTAAAGGTCCCTATTAAACAGTTTTTCCTCAATATATGATGGTTTCATAATATATGGTTTCAGATATATACAAAATATTTCTCCGAAGTGTTTGGCTCCAAATACCAAACAGATCCTTGCAGCATCCCATAATCCCCTCTGTTTCAGCCCTGTTTCAAAAGTGCTGATTCTGTGTCTGTTACTTTAGATCAGGCGTGCCCAATACGTCGATCTCGGGTGGGTAGATCGCATGGCATTGAAAAACAAAGAAGAAGAAAAAGAAAAAAAACATTTTATTTTTTATTTTTTTAAACCTAGCCTATCATCCATCGTTACTATGGCATTTGCCACTTGATTGACGTACAGGTAAGCCAGTCTGAGTTGCATTGTGCCATACGGGTTCATGCAGTTATGAAGCGCAAATGAGGCGCACTATTATGCGCTTATGGGGCGCAATTATTGGCTTATTGGTCCAATATCACCACGACACAGATTGGGCAGGGGCGGTCCTGTAGATAGATCATTTGGGCTTGGTCATTTTAAAAGTAGCTCCCAAGCTGAACAACTGTGGGCACCCCTGCTTTAGATGAAAATAAGGAGCCCCTCCCCACGCCCCTCTGAGAGAGATTTGGTTAAAAAATAACTCAATGGTGCTCTAGGAGGAGATTCAGGTGATAAGGTGGGGGGGGTTACCTTGGTTGGTGATTGGCTAATGGTTACACAAGACAAAACATCGTTATGACATCATAAAGCGGCCAAAATCTGATCAGCTCATTTTCAGAGAGGTTTTTATATAAATGGATCAGGACAAAAAGAGAGAGAATCTTTTTTCCTGAAACTTTCAGAATCTCTTTCCACAGAGGGGACACATGGTGATGTAGAAGAGATATGAAACAGTGGATTTTGCATAATAGGTGACCTTTAAAACACCCTTTGTTCTGCTCTGATTTGGATGGTAGTATCTCAGCTATGAGTAAAGTGAAATTTGGCACAGATATCCAAGATGTTTGGAGAATAAATCCCAATGACGTTGGTGACCCCCTGACTTTACCTCAAAACTATTGGATGATTTTCCATGAAATTAAACTAAATGTATTCATCTTGATCACTTTTGTAATCCCTTTACTTCCTCCTGCTAAATCACCAGGTTTACATTTGAATTTGTCTGCAAAACTAATGACACTCCCATTAGACTCAGCTATTTTGTGTTTAGTGGCCGACTTATAAGCAAACGTTAGCATGCTAAGAGGCAAAATTAAGATGCTAAACATGATCAAAATAACACCTGCTTAGCGTCAGCTTGTTAGCATGCCGACGTTAGCATTTAGTAGAAGGCCCTGCTGTTTTTCTAAGTAGAATCTAACATAGCAGACTTTGAGGGAAAACTCACTAAGGATTGCGCTGCTTTTGCGGCTACTAAGAACACAGAAAGTAAGTACTTTTAAAAGCATCTGCATATTATAGATTGGCCCATAACTGAGCTGCTAAGAAAATAGCGTCTTGGTTCTCTTGTGCTACATGACGAGTTGCAATTGAACAATAAAATATGCTGTGTTTGAGGTGCAATAATCCTTAACAATGTACTGTATTTTGTGAATCAGACCTTTAGACAAGTGTTGAAGTTATTCATAGGGTTTTCAGCAAAATGTGAATTGACATGTTAGTAAGGTTGGAATCAGTTTTGCTTCATTGTTCTCTTGTTCGTTTCTTGTTTCACGTGTCCTTTCTGAAGCTAAGGTAAACTGGAAAAAAGAAATAAAAACACAAAACAAAGTAGATTCAAGCACATTAGCTTCTTATATCCATATAAAATAGCATTAGGTGGCAAAGTTATCACAAACATTCCGTTTTTTTCATCATATCTTATAATAAAACACAATCAGTAACAGTTGTAAGTTGGCATGAAGAATGTACAAGCCATGTTTTTCAATAACTTAAGATGTTTGGCATCTCCAGAGAGTTTCTACTGGTTGTTACTAATGGAATTAGAAAGGAGACACAAATAATATCTACATTGGCAATGTTTGGCTTTTTGCTTTCCAAATAAGGGACTTTTCATTTACTTGTGTTGAAATGTCAAAAATGATGTGATTTAGATTATTCAAGCAAATACAGGGCGGGCGCTTGAAAGGGAATGTTTCGTAGGTAGGTGTTTCTTTACCCTTTTGAGAGTTTTAAAGGAATGTGATTGTTTCATTGGGAGAGTCACAAGTGTTTATCGAAGGGGTTCCCAAAGTGGGTGTCGCGCCACCCGGGGGGTCACGGACCGAGTGGGGGTCGCGAGATGAGTTACAAAATAAAAATGGAAAATCAAAAAAAAAAATGTATAGGAAAAAAAAATGGATTAATTATTCTTTATAATTTTTTTTTTTAATTATTATTAATAATAACGTTTCATGAGACATTTTCAGGGGCGGACTGCCATCTGTATAATTCTCCCCGCAACGAGCCGCAGTGTTTCTCAACTTTTTCC